TTCCTGATTTTTCTGATTCCATTTCTAGTCACTAGAGCCCGATGTTTCCTTTTCTTATTGTTCTTTCCTTATTTGTCATTTTCGGATTCTTCCGGGATACGGTGACCAGCTGTATAATTAGCTAGACAGTGAGGAGTAGCGGAATCCACTCCCAGTCAACGAACCTGTGCATGCTACCACTCCAACCCTCCCCCTCTCTTCTGTCTTGAGTCTAGTGGTGATAGGCCCATTACATTGTTTGCCTTCAGCGATAGGTAGTTTGGGGAGGATTGCTTGCCACCCCTTTAGGGTGGCTGATGCATATGTGCTGTTGATCTTCTCCCACCATGGTTCTTGTATGAGTAATATGGCTGGCTTTGGGTTCTTTCGTTTGGAAATGATATGCATTGCCGCTTGTGTTGCTGCATTGGACCAATTCACATTCAAGCTGCATATCGAGAGTTGGGCTGCTATTTTGGGTGTGCACTTCATTGGGGGGAGGTGAGGTGAGGGCTTGTCATTTCAATGTCCATTTTTTCCCTGCTTTCCACAGTTGACAGGTTGGGTTGATTGGTCTGTTTGACAATTTTTGTCTTTGACTGTGTGTGGACAAGCTTAGCAGTGGATGCCCTTTGGGCTTCTGGAGACCGGTTCTGTTCTAGGATGTGGCTTACATCATCGCCTGACAGGCCAATGTCTATGCTTGCTACCTCTGATTGATTGGTTGCCTCCTCCTTCCCTTTGCCTTTGCTTCTCTTTTGTTGCCAGCCTTCGGCTGTGCAGTTTGTGGCTGGGGGTTGCTAGGTGGCTGCGTGGTCTTCTTCAGGATGGGTTTGAGGCCCATTTTGTTTCTCCTGATCTTGCATTCTTTGAAGGTGCTTACATGTGCCTCTATGCAATTTATGCAGCAAGGTTGCACATCTGCTTGGTGGTCATCAGTGTTGTGGTCCTTTGCCCCACACTTTAAGCACCATGGCTGTGCGCAGTTGGCCATGCAGTGGGAGCACATGCCGCATTTGCTGCATGTGAAGACTTGAGCATGATCTTCATATGGTGTAATAGTGCATCTGTAGTTAAATAAGTACACAGTCCTGAGTTGGAAGAGTGTATCTCTGTCTTTTTTGTTAGTCAAGTCCAGTACAATGGATGCAAAATTCTTAGTGTAAATGGTGGCATCTGAGCCCAGCCATTTGGGTGGGCACCACTGCTTCAGTTCCCTGTAAGGTGGGCAGTACGTCATTAGCTCTTCATGGATCATGTTGATTGAGAGTGGGTCATTGCCGCAGTGGGTGGGTATTTTGTTGATTTTCACGCAGTAGTGTTCCATGTCTGGTAGGGTCGAGAGAACCTCGTTGTCTGTGATGGTGGCCACAATGTCATTCCCATAGTCCTGTAGGTTGGATGCCTTGCAGGTTGGGGCCATCATAACCTTGATGTTCCCTGCTACCGAGTATCCCACTGCCATCACCCTGAGGTAGTGCAGGAGATTCTTTTTCTCTAGCATGTCATTGATCTTCTTATGGATCTCAATGCCATTTGGGCGTTGGTCTGGTTGCAAGGGGGGGTTGATGCAGATGATTAGGCAGTGGGGGTCTGCTGTCTGTTTGTGTTCCGTTCCCTGTGTGTGTCAGGGCTCAGCACCCAAGCCCAGACCCCACACCACCTCCTCTCCTTCTCTACCAGTTGTTGTTTCACTGCCCTGTACACTTGTGTGAGCACAGAAGTGTGAGAAGACCTCCAGACACTGCCACAGTTCCCACAGGTCACAGCCACAATTCTGGGTGAGCAACTCACCCAGAATGTTCCCACACCCTCTGAGTACTGCCACCCGGACCCTCCCTATAGTCACACTGCTCAACTGGGGAACTGTACAGTCTTTCCTTTTATGGGTGCCATGTGGGGAGTTGAGAAGGTTACCCTTCTTCTCAACTTAGTGCCCACATAGGCAAGTTGTACTTACCTTTTACAATGTCATGCAACTTAGTGCCTGCATAGTGTCATGGCTGTGCATTCTGGCCCGTTAGCCACCTGTCCCGATGCCACCTGAGCCCATTCCCACTACGCAAGCGTGAGCATGAGCCCCGACTGCAGCCCTATCCTCCCTGAGGACTCCCTGCTCACTCCCCCACTTGCCCCTAGGCTCTCCTGCACCTGGCTGACTCCCCCACAGCCACACCAACCTTCCTGCCCTGAGTCCGCCTCCGGCACCATGCCCAGCACGACTCCTCTACCCCACCCACTTGGCCCCTACAGGGCCGCTACCATTCCCGTGCCCAACTCCGGCCCAACTCCGAGTCCAGCACCGCTACGATACTGTCATATCCATTCCCGGCCATCGACTTCCGGGCTCTCTGACCCCTCCGTTCCAACTCCGCTCCCCCCTCACCAACCTCGGAGCCCCCGTATTCCGCAAACCTCCTGGTACCCCTCGATGGTTACCACCCCCTCATTTCAATTTATTACCTACGCCTCCCTAAGTACGGAGCCCCGAAGACTTCCGGACAGCTCCGACGTCCGCTAGCGCACTCCCGCCTCCGCTGGGCAATACACTCGCCTGCCCTGCAGAGTCCACCTTCGGGCTTATCCCTCCTTTCCGTTTCTGGGTTAACGCCTGCCTTTCCGCTAACCCCGCGAACCGACTCGTCGGTAATATTCAGTCGGCTATTGTCTTAACCCTGTTAGCTCCGCTCCGTCCGGCTCCGCCAATTGCGGAACCGTCTCCGCTGTAACCATATATATACACTACTTGTACATAGGTTACGCCCCAGCAGATAAATCAACTAGAGTTACCCCCGCTAGGTTCTAAGCGCCAGTCAGTAAGTTAGGGCACGGACGTGTCACTAGGCACAGCGCTCCTGGCAGAAGTCGCTGAGGCCAAAGCCCTCCGTTACGGAGACATTCCTTCGTCTTAAATCTGGTCTCTGACAGATACCATCACTGCTATCACAGCCCTACACTCCTTCCTTTATTTATCTGTTATTGTTTGTTTTGATCCTCAGTCATTGCTGGCTGCTGTGCGGCCAACCCCGCTCCTTGTTCCCTTTTGCTTCCAGACCCTTCGGCCTTCAGCCCAGGTCTGCTTCCATTCATTCTTTCTCCCCTATATATATCCTGTATGATACTTTATTGTACCTTAGCTCTAATATCGATTTGACCATGACCCCCAAGTCCTGACCCCAGCAAGGCAACCCCAGTAAGTCTGAAATGAGGGCCAAGAGACAGCTAGGGGGCACAGTGCTCCTTTAGAGTCGCTGAGGCCAAATGCCCTACCCTCGGGCCTTGTTCACGGCATCACAGCCATTGTGGCCTATAGTGGCCCACTAATGGTGACCTTCAGTGCTGACCCCGGACCAGTGTCTAACACATAGAGTGCCCACATAGCACCCATAAAAGGAAAGACTGTACAGTTCCCCAGTTGAGTGGTGTGACTATAGGGAGGGTCCAGGTGGCAGTACTCAGAGGGTGTGGGAACATTCTGGGCGAGTTGCTTGCCCAGAATTGTGGCTGTGACCCGTGGGAACATTCTGGGTGAGCTGCTTGCCCAGAACTGTGGCAGTGTCTGGAGGTCTTCTCACACTTCCGTGCTCACACAACAGTGAAACAACAACTGGTAGAGAAGGAGAGGAGGTGGTATGGGGTCAGGGCTTGGGTGCTGGGCCCTGACAGTGTGGCTGTTTCGTGAGCTTGGTCTAGCGGTTTCACTGTCTGTTTCTTTGCTGTTGCCCATCTATGTTGTAAACACAGCATTCCAAATATGGTAACCTGCTTCAGCGGTTCACTTGCAACCCAGATGTAATAATGAAAGAAATATAACTAAAATACACATGGTGCTCCAGCCCCCATATTTATACTTCTCAACAATATTCCAGGTTCTTCTATGTCCAGCACTTATGCAGGTGCCTAGTAACCCCTAGAATATTCCTGGATATTCCGGTTCAGTTTCATCATGTGACTTGTATCCCAACATTCCCCCTTGAGTCACATACCCCTTCCAACAATTTTCTTGATCCAGAAACCTGCCCTGTATGACAAATTCGAAGCACCCAGAATCAATCATGTTCTCATCCTCCGATATTTTCCCATCCTATACAGTCCTGACAGCATTCGGATCCTTCCATTCCCAATTTAGTAAGAGTAATTCATCATCAAGTTGGCCTCGTTTCTATTTTGGGTTTCCTTATTCTCTCAGCAATTACGCTGGTAATGCCCCTTCTTTTGGCAATTCCAACAAACTGGCTCTGCTCTAGCCTGTTTTCCCCCTGCAATAAATGCTCCTGGGGAGGCACCCTCTTCTCCACATGTCCCCATCCTTGCCTCCTCATCCCTGAGAATACCCATCACTGCTTCCAAAGATGGCTCAGTCTCATGGGAAGTTAAAGAAGCCGAAATGGCATTGAACTTCGGGTTCAAGCACATGATCAATGCATTGGCCAGATCCGAATCACCGACATTCACTCCAATTCTGTGCATCTGGTTCCAGATCGATTTGAGCCCATTGATATAATTGTCAATTGGCTTTTTGGGATCGTGTTTGAAGTTATAAAATGCCTGCATCAATCGAATTCTATTGGCCCTGGAGTTTTTCTCATAGTGTCCTGCCAATTTGTACCAGGCCTCGACACCATTTTTGCAATGGCTGATCAACTTGTATTGTGACAGGTCTATGGTCAGCCCAATTATGGTAAGAGCTTCATCGGCCTTGTTTTGGGCATTCTTCGGGATTTTCCAGTCTTCACTTTTGTTTTTCCCTTTCTGAATTATGTCCCAACAGCCAGCCCTCTGGAGTACAAGGGAGACACCGAATTTCCAATCATAGTAATTATCCTTGGTCAATTTCAGCACTTGTCCCACCAGGGAGTTATAGTTCGGAGTTGTGTCCTTGGTTTCTGCCATATTATGTAAGCGTAGCGATCAGATGAGGCAACATTGAGTGAATAGAGTAATCCGGTTAGACCCAGGCTGGGCTCATAACCTGTTGTAAATGCAGTGTTCCAAATATGGTAACCCGCTTCAGCGGTTCACTCGCAACCCAGATGTAATATAGAAATGAGAAGAGAAACTGTAACTAACTAAAGAACATACAGTGCTAAAGCACCCATGTTTAAACTCCTGAATAACATTCCAGGTTCTTCTATGCCCAGCGCTTACACAGGCACCTAGTAACCCCTAGAATATTCCCGGATATTCCGGTTCAGTTTCGTCATGTGACTCGTATCCCAACAGTCTGGGTTGCGGTTTCGGTGGATTCTTTGCTGCTACGCTTGCCCAAGACTCGGTCAGGGCCACCATTGGTTTCGCTACGGTATCCGGGTCCCTCTCTGGCAGGGGTTGGGTTTGGGCCGTGGTCACCTTGGATTCTAAGGATTTCAAGCAATTGGATAGGTAAGCGTTTGTTGAAGCGAGGTTGGAGACATTGGCTTCTGCCTCCACCAGACGGCTTTCTAGGTCATCTTCTTGCCACGGCTTTTGTATGTGGCTTTGGGCAGTCCTGCGAACCAATGGGAGTACGTCGGGAGGAGTTGTTCCCACAAGCCTGCATGGGCGACAAGTGATAGTCTCTCCGTAACCTCGTTCATACTCGTGGACGCATCTTCCAAAAGCTTCCAGTTCCTGTCGTGTTCCTCATCCTCGGGGGTCGGGTCTTCCATCCACATCTCTTCGTTCTCCGAGTCGGACCGTTCTTGGTGTTCGGCTTCTGGGGAGTGTTGAGGATTTGTGGTGTGTGTGCTGTCTTCCATTGGTACAGCGTGTCGTTCCATGTCTGGGGTGCTGGGCCATGACATCGGGATGCTGGTAACATCCAGTTGATCGGAGACTGGCGCAATCGGATAAGGGTGTTCAGCGAATTTGTCGCGGAGCAGTTGCATTTCTGGGGTACTAGTCGCTGCCGCTTCGCCCCAGGGGCTACTGTTGGCTGAGCCTGTTTGTCCTCTTGCTGTAGTTTTGGTACCACGACGTGGCAATTGGTGCGGCTGGAGTGGCGTGCTCGAGATCGTGTTGTACATATCTCGCTTCGTGCTAGACTGTCTCAAGTTAGCAGGGTTAGCTGGCTTTTGGAGCCCTGCTTTCCCTCCTGTGTCAAACTTTTCTTGATCATCCATGGTTAGGAGATCGTGCGTGGGAAGGGGAAGCGGTTTGGGGGGAATGGGGGGTGGTATTGTTGTTTTTCGATCTCACTAGACGTTTTCCCTCTCTTTTCGAGATGGTGTCACGTGTGTATCTTAAGTAGTAGGTCAACGAAGCCAAGCGTACGCCGGAATGCATGTGTATACTCCACAAATCGCGTGAGACGTGGGCGATCGAGAGTCGACGGTTGTCAGCGAACGGAATCTGGACATCCGATGATAGATAATAATCCTCCGGGCGCTGCATACCTTGATGAGCACACCCTGTCACGCACTTATGTGCATCGGGTTCAGCAGTGTTTCCTTTGGGACTCATGATGAGATCGGTGATTGCTCGCACACCTGTCAGTTTCGCGCTACTGGATACACCGTGTGGTCGGACTGGGTTAACGAAAACAACCGATGATGAAAACATCCAGGCCTGCCACTCACCCAGGTACCTTGCGAAAGACACCAGGATCGTCAATGGAGGCTTCGTTTCATTTCCTTTGGCGTATCGACTTTGATTCCAGACTATCCCGCACGCGGCACGTTATGCAGGGGCCATGTCATCGGGATGCATTATCTGATTCCATGCAGCCAGTCAAGTTGTCGATCGTTCCCAGCGCGTTATCCACCCCGGCCACTTTGCAAGCTGAGTGCGAATGTGCCGTACAGAGGGACACACATCGTGCATAGGGGATGACAAGTAGTCGAAATACTGTAGGGGCCAATTATATTCACTGATCGATAATTACCCAGCGGTGACTGGCGCATGAGTACAGCGCGTCCATAGTGCCACAGCCAAGTGAATCAGTCCACTCCATAATGATCGCAACAATTGAGTTATTCACTGCGCAGCTTGTCAAGTGCTGGTTAGAAGATTGTTCGTACTACGCGATATCGTAGATGTGAAAGTGAACACCCTTGTCTGTCCTTCAAGTGTTGAGGCCCATCGAGAGAATGTGATTAAACGCCCACAATTTGAACATCCGAAAATCAGCGGCTCCAGAGTACTTTACTCGTGGGGTGCTTCGTTCAAATGAATGACATCAACCCCGAAGACCTGCACAGTATGCGAATTCGATTGGTCGAGTTGTTGACGTTGATAGTTATATCAAACCCTCCCACAATAGCCCAACAAGTGAATCAAGAATTCAAGGGCTGTTGTACATGCGAGGGCCAAAGAATTCAGTCGGCTAGCGCTAACACTCCGGAGAAGCAAATTAATGTCTTGGCAAGTGTCTACCAGCCGCAAAAAGGCAAGTATGAATTGCACGCCGTGTTCTGGGAAATCAAATTAAAATGTGGTGCCGACGCTCAACATCGAAATTATTTGATTCCTCATATGACAGCGCAACCGCATTTCGCGGCTTTCGAATTGTTTGCGTTCCGAACCCCAGCCGAAATGGTAGTAGTTCACCATATACGGTGAAGTTGGAAGCATGCTCAGCATTTTCCCGCAGAGTTACATTGGCAATAAATTCGAGGTGTTATGTTTGGACAGCGTGTCCGGTGTCGAAATGAATAGTGGGACTCATCTAGCTCATCGCTCCGACTCCTTGTGCTGCAGCATGGTTCCTGACCTCGGCGATGCAACCAGCACCATATTGACTAAGTAAACTCACAGAAGGCGCGAGGGCAACTTGAGCAACGTGAGACACAAGCGCTGACTCGTAAATCGCTCGATCATCACGAATTCTAAGATCACCTATGGGGTATATCGCAGAGCGGATGGTGGAGACATAGCGGGCTAAGAATTGACATCGCTCTCTAGACACTGGTCTGGACGTCTTTATTTGGTAGTGTCCAAAGCTTATGGAATTAGGACAGTTGACACCACGCCCTGGGCGTGCTTGGCAAGCTGTCATACGGGGACGTATTTGAATATGAAGCTGAGCGTCGGAGAGGCCCAAAATGCGTGCACGTAGCAGTGTCTACCGCACTAACGTGATGGAAAGTTTGGTTCGAATTGCAGCAATTGAGTTGTTCACCAAGCTAGTGCAGACCTGCTTGCAATTGGAGAGCAGCTGAACGAAGAAGGGGTAAACGCAAGGGCAGCAGGGCACTTGAAAGACACTCATGCCACCACCTTGAGGACTCCAGATCGGGAAGTAGAGAGTTTTGTTCCAGCGTGGATGCCGAAGGCAACACCCGCTCGTGGCTGTTCAGTGTGGAGAAGGCTCAATTCAATAGCTCAGTCTTGATGCTTTCGAACCTCAGTGTTAGGCAGGACTCCAGCCTCCATGACTTCGTAATATTAGATAGACCTCAGTGTTCTTCTCCAGCAAGTCTCCCGTCTCAGGCCTGCCAGCTTTCTTTCCTGCAGCGACGGATGGTTTGAAATGTGATTAGTACTGCAGTATGTGCTCTAATCGTTACGCACCGCGGTATCCAACACCCATTATTTATAGGGAAGAAAACACAACGCCTCGAAGGCGCTGACCGACAAGCAGCCTGAGAAGGGAGTAAAGGTAGGAGGAAGGAACAATGGCAACGACTTCAGGTGGCGCAAGGGCAAGGAACAACGGTAACGACGCCGGACAGCCGAGGGGCGACAGCAAAGTGCCAAGTGTCAGTGGTGGCCTTTTGGTGACGGGTGCTTTGAGTGGGTGAGTTTCAACAAATCTTACTTTGCTCGACTCGGATTTTCAGCTTTGAACCACTCTATCTGCTACAACAGATGACCGCCTCCGCGTTGTTGGTGTGGTCTCGGTAATCTCTTGGTTCATTTTGTAAGGGAAACGTTGTCAGAGCAAAAATCGCTGCATATGTACGCCAAAATCCATCCCCATTGCTTGCTCAGTACACAGAGAATGCCACATTTCATGCCGCGTTCCCGCCATCCTCCTATATTTCTTTTCACAGCACTCCATCCAATCTATAATTATCGTCCTGCTTTTTACATGCAAACTGACATAATTTCTCCCACGCAGACTGTTGGCATACGTACTCCGATGCAAGCGTTACGGAGGGGACTCCCCCAATGCCCATTCAGTGGACGTATCGCATTTGATCCCTTCTCTTGTCCCGACCATCCAGGGTAGACGGGGCCACCAACGGAGTGGAGCCTGCAAGGCATAAGGCCCAAGACTAGTTCACCCGTTCAACAGCGTGGAGAAGTACATAGTATTCCTTTTTGTCAACGTATGGTAAGTGATATCGAAGCTGATTCCAGTGTAACCAAAGATTCACAGTAGCTCGACAGGCCAGAAATTATCCACACCGGTTCACATCGCGCACGCTGCTGTGTCCATATTCCGGATTTCGGACTTGATGCTCGGGACATGGAACGGGGGCCTTGCAACGACTAACTCTTCCTTGTCTCCCAGGGATGATGGCTTATCACGACGTTCAGCCTTTCTGATCGTGGTTTCGTCTCGAACAATGAACCCCGTTTTTGCAAGTTCACTTTCACACCGCCTTTATTGAGGCTTTGAAGGGTATTCCAGTCTTTGTTTCAACTCAGTTTCTCAATCTATCATCCGAACTTTGAGCTACTGGATAATAACGATGATGAGCTCACACTACCAAGCTGGCCGACCAATATTCGCTCTGCCGTTGCACACTAGATCCGACACATCCCACAGTTTTATTGCCTCCAGACTATCTGGGTTGACGTCAGAAGGAGTGGCCTTTCGTGCCGATGGTGAAGGACGTTGGGAGTCCATAGGTGGTTAGTTGGAAAGGGGATAGGCAAGGCAAACAAACATAGTATGGCAAGAAGCCCCGTCGAGGTTCCTCATTTGATCGGTGCGTTTGTGGTGATGAATGCATCTGGTGTATTTATGTCCCAACACTAGAGTCTTACTATTTCTCGTTATGCAGAGCAACAATACTATGTGATTATGTTATCCTAAGTGGGGAATGAAAGACGTCCAGGATGTAGTTCGGTAAAGGGCGGGGGGCGGAGATCGCAAAGACGTAAATGTGAGAGTGAACAGGATAATCCGAGCAACAGGATAAATAAGCATGGAGAGAGCCCCAGACAATGCAACCATAGTTTCGATGTTTCCCTGTCTTTCAATGGCCCATGCGACTGGGCCGGGGCTCACAGTAATAATTATCGCAGAAATGCGCCACAAAAGTTTCTCCGCACGTGTTGGAAATGGAAATAACCAGGCGAGACAATGAACCCCACCAAAAAGGATACCAGTGACAAGGAATATCCATAAGGAAGTTGTCTCCATGATCTTCACTGGAGGGGAAATCGGGTTTGACGCGTTCTCCATTTTAGGCAGTATTTGATCAGTGACGGCATCGGAATTTGGGGGATTGGGGCGAGTCTCTTCCGTCACATGGATTGGGAAATGGACATCCAGCGGTTTATACCACCACAAAGCATAAATAAAGATGCTAAGTGCCGCATAAGCAAGCGTCATCGCTTCCAGTTGTGACTTGGGTAGATGACTTGCCCACCGTCCAACATACTGAATGGTGAACCACAGTAACTGGAGGACGACAACGGACTTTGCAAAAGAGTCGCCTTTACTTCTGTCGAGGATTCGTTCCCTAGTTACTGCGGCCTTTCGATGATCTCCCGACTTGTCGATTATGCCGGGGTATTTCGCAAACAGAGTAGAAGGGTCTTCATTTTTATCTGGCCTCACTACTTCTTGTTTGGAAGAGTCGAAGAAGCCACCCATAATAACAAAATATGAATGGGTGAGTGTCCATCCTTCTGAAAACTTGATGTCAGGCTTAAACTGAATTGTGCCATATCAGCCCAAACCTTGAATTTCAGCACACTTTTTTGATATCCTCCAAGCCTTGGAGAACCCAGCCCATGCAGCCGCAACAGACAGCTCCGGTGAAAGCAACGCGAAAACCATTTGAATGTTACGAGAACCCATCCCAAACGACCAAGCTGAATATTGCTCAGGCACATCTGGATGGATTGCTGTCCAGACACAAGCAAATATCGTAAGGAGGCAGCTGTACACCATGCTCCACATAGTCCGACAGTTGCGCAGATCGTTACACGCATCCGAGTAATTTATGGAGAAAACCGTACTGTTGGGTGGGGGATGTTGAGGGATGGGTGCAGCATAGATGCTTTGGGTGAGGATATGGCTGATGAGAGTGGCTGCCATTGTAACGTAGATGATTCAGGTACAATGAAGATTTGGACACACAGATTGCGAGCTTTATACCGCAGCGGGACGAGGCAGTGTAATGCTTCATCGAACACATGGCTTCTAGTGTCTGGATAAATGTTCGTAAGGAATCATATTCAGCTCACTCCTGCATACTGTAAGGGGTGCAGCAGCCTTATCGTGGGATCGGGGTGTCTGGCCAGCAGGAATTCCAATCTAAACCAACTTGATTGAGATAATCAACTGATAGAATACATGCAATCAGCGAGTTCAAAAGGAAGAAATCTCATAGAAGTCCCGGGGAACATCTCACTGCCGAGCCAGTCCGGTCCTTCTGAACAGAGCAAATCAAAACAAACAAACAAAAGGTAACGAGAAATCGCATCGCGCGTGCGCGTAATCTCGGAAATGAGATGTCGTATTTCCATTCGGCTGCGTGCTTACCATGCACTGGCCTTCAGGCGAAGTACTTGAGTTTCCAAAGAACTGTCGGAGAGGACTCAAAAGCCACAGGGGTGCGATTCGTTCAGTTGATGTGGCGCTACGCTCAAGAATCCCTTGCATAACTATTGTTCTCCTACTGTATTGGCTATGAGGCAAGAAGCCGGCAATACAGTCCCGGGGTGGGGTCAGTTCACGAGCACTAAGTCCATCGCACCCAAGTATCGCAGCAGACTTCATAGACTCGTCAGAAAGGACAGGCAAACCGCGGTTAGGAACAAGGTTAACATGGGACATGTGGAGTTGCCCCGAGACTGTTCGAGTACCGTGAAGACCAGTCTACCCCCGTAAACTGAATCACTGAGCGATAGAAACCTAAGAGAGAACACTTCTCCAGAGGCGAGACTACCGGTGGGTCCGACTTGTTAGTGTCCCACCCAACGTATGGTATGAACACAGTAGTACAGCGGACTGTACCGTTGGGGTACGTGGGAGCCAAGCGAAAAATTCCGCCTATGTCATCTGAGTGTGGAGAAAAAAATCGTAAATTGGTGCCAAAGGAAAGGACCGAGGGGTTTGAATAACTCGAGTACTGGTGACGGATGGGATCCGCGTGTGCAATTCTGGCACCCTATCTTAACTAGTAGGTCAACGAAAGCAAGAGCACACCGCTCCACAAATGGCGAGAGACATGGGCGATCGAGAGTCAACGATTGTTAGCGAGCAGACTCTGATGATATAGCGAATGCGTGGCCAAATAATCCGACGTGCGGCAATGGTCCGATTCGGTTGTGATCATTTTTCCAGAGGATATAAAATTAGCATGGGCTGCATACCTTGACGAGTACACACTACGCAATTGACGCACAGCAGAAGTCAGCAATGTTTCCCACCTCACTTTTTCCCTTGAGAATTATGCTATGAGACTCAGGATGGGATCGGTGATTACTCACGGTTTCGCGCTGATGAATAAGTACACTCGTGCGTCAGTCAAGCTGAGTTAACGAGAACGACCCATGATTGCCAGCGGAGAAACTGCCACTCACCCGGATACCTCACACATGCAAGACGCCAGAATCGTCAATGTGGGCTTCGTTCCACTTCCTTTGGCGCATCGACTGGATTCTAGACTGTCCTGCACGCAGCGCGCTATGCAGTATGCAGGGGCCGTGTTATTTGGATTGATCATCCCTCCGGAATACACACCACTTACGCATCAAGCTTCACGTACCACAAGATTCCATGCTAGTCAAGTTGTCAATCGCTCTCAGTGCGTTATTCATCTGAAACTTCCCGGTTGCACTTAAGTTCTCGCTCACAAGCTCCACAAAGCCGATCATAGGTCTCAGCCAAGAAAACATATGAGAGCGGATAATGCCGAGGGTTTCCAGGAATACAGATAGAGATCATGACGGAAACGCTTGGACAGGCAGCGAATACTGCGATGGCTCAAACTACTGCACGCCACAGGCGATACCTCATGCAGTTTCTCTATAGAGGACTGGCGTATGGGGAGATTCAATACTAATGAGGGGGGTAGCCAGGCGCAAGCTAGTTCTCTAGAGATACGAAGAAACCCCAAAATGGCTATCAAGATGCACCGGACGGAGAACAGTCCCAGTGCATGACGATTGCATCAACAAGGACTCTGAAGGTTACCAGCCTCTATTAGTGGACGGACCTATGACTCATCATTGGATCAATATAGTTGATTTAGTACTGCATGCGGCCTCGGAGCTTTCAACCCCCAATGCCCCCAAGGACAAGTCTTCGGTCTCGGATTGGTCGTCTTTCTTTCCTTCAGTGATGGGGAGCTAAGGGTCACTTTCTTGACTCAGATTTTCTTGGAATTCCCCCTAGCTTTCGCTGGGTGCTTGGCGTTTACCTGGGGTTTGTATGTAGGAGCGTGCTCCTAGGTCGACTCGCAAGTCCACTTGGACACTGCCTTCATTGAGGCGTTGAACGGCATTCTAGTCCCAGTTTCAACTCAGCCTCTCAATTCATCACCTGAACTTCAAGCTACTAGACTACAATGACGAGGTCACACTACCGAGCAAGCTAACCAATATTTACTCAGCCGGTGCTTCCGGCGGTTTTATTGCCGAAAGACTATCTGGATTGACCTTAGGAGTGGCCTTTCATACTGACGGAGTCGATAGGTGGTCAGTTAAGGTAGTCAAGGACAAGAAGGCATACTTAGTATGGCGAGAAGTCTCGTAGAGGATCCTCATTTGATCGGTGGGTTTGGGGCGATGCTGCGATGGGCGCATCTGGTGTATTTTTGTCCCAATACTAGGGTTACTGTTACTTGTTAACAATACTGCGTGTCTACGGTTATCCCAGGTGGGGGATGAAAGACATCCAGGATGTAGTTCGGTAAAGGCCGGGGGGTGGAGATCCAAGGGGTGATCAACATGGAAATTCTATACCCGATGTACCATTTCAGGTTTTAGCGGGTTTGAGCGGAGACATACATACTAAGTAATTCAATCGGCAATTGCCGTACCCCGGCCATTGCCGCATTCCATATTGGGCATCCACCTAGAAGTCGAATTCACCGCCAACTAGAAAGATGGAGGTATGTGGATCAATTAAACATTGTTCCCAATGATGGCATGTTGTTTTAGGCTCATGAGGGGAGTGCAGAGAATCATTCTCAAGTGTGTCCGGAGTGTGGTATGGACGTACTTCTGGGGACTGGTGGTCAAAAAAATCTGCTGCGTCATATTGGCAAGGCAAGATGCCGTGAATCCCAAGAAAAGCGGGAGAATAAAGTAAAAGCCCAACCACAAGCTGAGTTAATGGCTTCATTTTTCAAAAAAAAGGAGTCCGTACACCGCCCAACTGTGGTCCCCCCCGCTTTACTCCAAAGTCTAGCCCCTGAGCCCATCCATTCACCCTTGCCATCAAAACCAAATCTTCCACACACTGAAGAAGCTCCGAAAATGCCTAGTCAACCAGACAAAGGACTGCAATCAGCCAGTTGCTTATCAAAACTGAGACATATTGCGACGAACCTCCCCGATACTGTCCCACTTGCTGCTCCCTCAGACCCTATTGCAGCTCTCACTGGTGACCCTAAAGAAATAGTGGCCACTCGAAAGCTGGAAGAGCCAGATGAGGATGTATATGAGTGGCTGGATAAAAAACTCAACAATATTTGTGGTGAATATGCGAAACGGAATGGCACCCTAGCATCAGCCATTAGACGGGGCCCAATGGGGTTGCCAGGGCTTTGTGCTACACTCCAATACTTCACCAACAACAAATTTGCTTCTGAAGAAATTCTGGAGATCCGAATCAATAACCTGATTGAGGAAGCAAAAAAAATGTATGTCACCATCACCGTTAAATTCAAATCCCCCCAAAGTGCTGCTTAACATAATTCCAATAGAATCCCTCTAGAGTCCCATCCTGCATCAACAAGGCCCTCCCCAAGGAGACAGGATAATACTGTACTCACTCAGCGCATGTTGCCTTCACCGCAACCTGGTACCAAACACCTCCCATTTCTCCTGGACTCTGATGAGGACAGCGACTCACCTCCCCAAATAATTGACAACAAGCATCCATGCCAAGGAATCAGAATTGACGTTCCTGAAGGGAGAAGCCCATTTCTTGAGTGGCCATGGAAAGAACAAGCGGAGTTAGCAATGGCTTGGGACATCCACACTAAAAATGGTATTCTTACCTTGCATGCTCCCACTTGTCTACAGTTGACACTGCGGGTTAATGAGCCATGCCGAGAATGCCAACTCCTCCAAAACAATCAAAGACTTTGCCGTATTCAGGACCGGATCCACAGAGGCGTCCCCGAGACCACCCCATATAAGTACCTTGGGATGTCTGGATTAATCGAAATTCTCAGGCAGAAAGACCATCAAATTGACAGTCTCAAACTTCAATGTCTTAACACCAATCGGAAACTGGATTTGCTCATGACTTCAAACCTGGACTACAAAAGATTCGTCATGGCTGTGGGCGAGTGCAATGTACCCCGCTTGAATCAACTTGTGCGGTCCGCGCTACGAAAGAAGCATGGGATTAATGGAATCATTCAACTTATTGGGAGAGCCGCACTTGGAACTTACAGCCCGAGGCACACAGAACAAGAACACCTTATGAGTGTTGTGCTCTACCGGTTAGGGGGTGCACGCGTTGCAGAGTTTGCACATGCAGCACTCAGCATGCCAGGGATAGCAACAACCCGATGACACTGCACAACCTCAATCCGCGCTTCTCCTGCCTTCCCAACCCTTGATGAAATGAGATCAAACATCGCAACGGCGTTTCAAATTGATGCCCCTTCCAATAATCAAATTGTCGGCCTTGTTTGTATGATAGATGAGATTAAGGTGGAAGAGGTGTTGGACTGGTGCCCGCACACCAACAGTGTGATCGGCCTTTGTCGAGAGCATTCAGGGTGTAATGCACATGCAATCAATAACATCGATGATGCGCATACACTGTTTGATGACTTGGCAAACAGAAAAGTGCATTTCGGCATGGAGGTACGTCTAGGACAAAGGGGTGTGAACCATAGCACCAGCTAAATCATAGACGATAGGCTACAGTTGCCGCAATTGGAGCTCTCACCGGGAATCATCGCCAATACATTGCACGGCCATTTCTAATCAGTGCAACATGCAAAAATGAGAAAGCCGACAAACATGCTGATCTCCTCCGCCTAGCATGCAGTGCCTGCAACCAAATGTGTAAGGAGACCAAGGGGAGTGTATATTGCCTTGCCTCAGATGGTGAATCAAGGCGAGGAAAGGCACTTGTAGCCTTAACGGAGCACACACCACTATCTCCAACATCCCGCTTATATGCTTACCTGGGTGGACTACCGCTGCTAAACCTACTGGTTGGAGAGGACGAGTTAACATCTGACAAAGACTACAAGCATGTTATGAAAAGACTTCGACACACTCACCTGAGGCCCAGCGGTGTTTCAGTCGGTGGTGTTCAGATTACACCCTCAGTCCTGCGGTCCCACCTAGAAGGCAACAAATACCCCTCAAGCCAAATCAACAACCTGATGAATGTCACAGATAAACAAGACGTCACTACAATGTTTAACCTAATGCTACTTATCTGTCAGGGACGCGTCCGGGGTCGAGAGGGCCCGGGGGTAATGCCCGACACTGAGGCTGTCGCGGGGTGTGGAGCGGGCGTGCGTACTGGTGGGCCCGATCCGGGACAGCGGTCCCTGGCCACTCAGACTGAAGTGGAGAATGTGAGAAGAAGGTTACTTCTTCGGTTCCCACTTCAGGTACATTTATGTACATGCAGCTTGAGTCACATGACAGGTGCCACGTCATCCTCGGAGGCAGCCGCAGGCATCCGGGTGTCCCCGTGGGGGATCCCGAGAGCGTCCGCTGCATGCGCGCGTGCTGGGCACAGCGGGAAGCCGTCCGGGGTGTTTGGGCCGGACAGGTCAATAGTACATCGATACAAGGGAAGGTGGTCCGTGTAGATAGAAAGAAATAAACAGGAAGAGGAAGATGAGAAGAATGAAATAAAGAAAGGGGAAAGAAAAGGGAAAAGAGGGGGGAGGAGAGAGAGGAAGGAGGGGGGAGGGGGATAGACAGTGGGGAGCGGGTGTGGTGTGGCCAGGTGGGCCCGGGTCAGGCGGGTGTGCCCTGACATCACCCCCTCCTTAAGCCGCTTCGCCTCGAAGCGGCCAGGGGGTTCGTTCTCTCCCTTCCTGGGGCGTGGGGGTGTGTTTGGTGGAACTCCTCGATCCGGTCAGGGGCATGGATTAGTTGGTCTCGGGGGAGCCATTCATTCTCTGAGTTCGGCCAACCCGCAAACTTTACTAAATACCAGAGCTTCCGGCGTAACCACTTAGAGTCCAGTATTTTTTCCACTTCATATTCCTCCTCTCCATCTACGAGTTCTGGGCCCGGGCGGGGGTCAGGGGGTCGTTCTGCGATCTCGTCCGGGCGGTAGGGTCTTACGTTCGTCACAGATACGACTGGGTGAATTCCCTTTTGCCGTGCGGTGAGTTGGAGCTTGATGGCAGCCGGGGAGACGACCTTGACAACTTTGAAGGGGCCTAACCACTTATGGTCTAGCTTCTTGGTCGGGCGGTCAGTCGTATAGTTTTGGGCGCTGAGCCAGACTCGGTCACCCTCCTGGTACTTGGGGGCTGTCTCTCGACCTCGGTCGTAGTAGCGGGCCATCTCGTCCGCTGCATGTTCCAGGGCCGCCTTCGCCTCTTCCTGCATCTTCATCATCCTGGACGAGAAGGCGTCGGCGGCTTCTACCTCGGACGTACGTGTGGGCTCCGTCCCCATCCTGGGATGCTGCCCGGTGTCAAGCTCGAAGGGGGTTCGACGGGTGGACGAGTGGACGCAGTTGTTGTAGGCAAATTCTGCCAGTGGGAGCCAGTCCGCCCAGTCGTCCTGGCGGTGGTTGACGAACACCCGAAGGTAGGCCTCGATTTCCTGGTTAACCCGCTCTGTCTGTCCGTCAGTCTGGGGGTGGTAGGGCGTTGAGGGGGTTAGCTTGACCCCCAGGAGATCTGCAAGTTCTTTTGAGAAGCGCGAGACGAAGGCGCTCCCTCTGTCGCTAAGAATCTCTTCCGGGAGCCCGTGGTGCTTCCAGACGTGCTCTAGGAAGAGCCGGGCGATACCAGCCGAGTCCACGGATGTCACGGTGGGGATCGCGTGGATGCGTTTGGACAGACAGTCCACTACAACTAGGATGGCGTTATAACCTTTCGACTCTGGGAGCCCTCCCACCATGTCTACCGAGATCACCTGCCAACGGTGGGTGGGAACTTTATTTGGGGTGAGCTTCCCAACCTTCCGTGCGGGGAAGGGTTTGATGCGGTTACAGGTGTCGCATCCACGTACGTATCGCCCGACATATTCTGCCATCCGAGGCCACCAGTAGTCGCGGGAGACGAGCTCTAGGGTTTTCCATCGCCCTGGATGTCCCGTCGCCTGCGTGTCGTGGTGTAGCCGTACCAGATCATGGCGGAGTTGTGGGTCTTTTGGAACGTACACCCTGCCCCGGTAGAGGACCAACTCTCCCTGTCTCTCCCACTCGTCCGACCTCAACGTTCCTTCTCCCAGTTCCCTCATGGCCTTTACCACTTGTTCGTCATGATCTCTCGCTCCTCGTACCCTCTCTAGGATATCCGCCTCCTCACCCTCCACTGAGACTGCTTCCGTCACACGGGCCTCGAACCAGGCCGGTTGGAGGAGGGTCAGCCCCTCATTGTCGTCCCTTCCCTTCGGGTGGTCAGCGCGGCGGGAGAGTGTGTCTGGTTTCCCCATGAGCTTCCCTGGGCGGTGGACGAGGGTGAAATGGAAGCGGGAGAGGAAAAGGGACCATCTGGCCTGGCGTCGATTTAACCTCTGGGCCGTCCGGAAGTAGCCCAGGTTACGGTGGTCGGTGTAGATCTCGACTTTCTCCTCAGCACCTTCCACGAAGTGTCGCCATTCCTCGAGGGCTCGGACGATTGCAAGCATCTCTTTATCGTACACTTCGTAGTTGCGCTCTACATCCGTGAAACTTTTGGACATGAACGCTACCGGGTGGAACTCTCCATCCGGTTGGAGCTGGGAGAGGACCGCACCGGTTGCAAAGTTGGATGCGTCGCACTCGAGCCTGAAGCGGCCGTGGTCGGTAGGGAAAGAGAGGACAGGGGCTGTGGTGACGGCTTCCTTGAGGGCACGGAAGGCATCGTCTTCATCCGGGCCCCAGTTCCAGGTTTGGGTCTTCCGGGTCAGCCTGTGAAGGGGGCGGGCCTTCTCAGAGAAGTCTCTGATGAACCGGCGATAGAAGTTTACGAATCCTAGGAAGGATTGTACTTCTTTCACCTTGGTTGGGGGGGGGCCAGTCGAGGACACCCTGGATCTTCACCGGGTCCATCGCGACGTTACCCTCCGAGATAACGAGGCCCAGGTACTCGATCCGGGTTCGCTCAAACTTACACTTCTCTGGCTTGAGGAAGAGCCTCCTTCTTCTCAGCGTCTCTAGGACTTCTCGGACGACCCTTCGGTGTTCCTCCAGGGTGGCCGTGAAGATCAGGATGTCGTCCATGTAACAGATGACAACCTCCCGGTCGATGAAATCCCTCAGGATGTCGTTCATCATGGTCTGGAAGGTTGCCGGGGAGTTACACAGGCCGAAAAACATCACCATGGGCTCGAACAGCCCCCGGTTGGTCGCGAATGCCGCCTTCCACTCGTCTCCGTCCTTGATCCGGACGTTGTTAAACCCCCAGCGTAGGTCCAAGGCTGAGAAGTATTTGGCGTTGCGGAGGCGGGCGAGGACGTCTGAGATGAGGGGGAGCGGGTATGAGTTCTTCACCGTAATCTCATTCAGCTTCCTGTAGTCCTGGACCAGGCGTAGGGACCCGTCCTTCTTCTTGACGAAGAAGACTGGTGCTCCCATGGGGGATTTGGACGGCCGTATGCGCCCGTTCTGTAGGTTCTCGCGTAGGAACTCGTCTAGTTCTTTCTGTTCCGGACGCGAGAGTGGGAAGGTCTTCCCCCTGGGCAGTTTGGCGTCCAGTACCAGGTCTATAGCGTGGTCCCAGGGCTTCCGGGGGGGCAATTGGTCAAAGGCTTCTTTGGAGAACACATCCCGGAAGTCCTGGTAGTGCTCTGGTACTAGCGTCTCAAACGACACGGGCTCAGCCTCCGGGTCGCGGGCCTCTTGGGCCATCCACTGCGAGGGGGTCGTGGTGGCTCTCAGGTCATGGCCCCAGCTTGGGGGGATGATGGCAGCGTAGATCCCATCCCCAGGCTCCAGTACCGGGTCCTGATCATTTTGTATTCGCGGTTGTCTGCAGGAGGACGGGCAGCGGGACATGACGACTCTCTGTCGTACCCAGTCCACTTCTGGGTTGTGGTGCAGCAACCACGAGTGTCCTATGATGAGGGACTGGCGCCCGAGATTTGCAACCACGAAGCGTGCCCGCTCTGTGTGTCGCCCGAAGGTCAGGAGGGCTTCTAGCTCTTCTGTTATAGCTCCATTTTCGTTCGGGGTTCCATCGACATTACGGACGGGAATGGGTTGGGGAAGGGGGGTTGTCTCTAGGTTGTGCTTTCGGACGAACTCGGGGCTTACGAAGTTCCCGGTGGCTCCTGAGTCCAGGAGGGCTGACACAGATACCGACACGAGGGAGGTTAGGGCGGTCAGTTTCACTGTGAGGTTAAGAGATCTGGGGGACTGCTTGGAAAGGACGTAAATGGCGGGGGGGGAGACTGCTACCTCGGGCGTTGCTGCCCTTGGGGTCTTCTCGTTCTCACGGGTGGAGGATGCGTTTCTCCTCTTTTTCTTCGCGATGACTCGGTGAAACTTTGGCATTGGCGTTGGCTTACGCGCGCTGCGGTATTTACACGAGCTATCTTCTACGGGCGGCCGGGACGCATCCCTTACCGGTCGCCTGCCTGAAAATCCCTCTGAGGTTCTTCCTCTGGTTCCCCCTCCACTGTCTCTGTCCCTTCGGTCAACTGCCTCTTCAGCCCTTCCATCAACGTCCTCAGGTCTTCCGGGTGGAGACGTCGTACTCGGCTGACCCTGGGGTGTGGGCATTCTCGCGCGAGATGACCCGGGGTGTTACAGTTGTAGCACCGTCTCTGGTCAGTCCTCGACCTGTCGAGATCCATCGGCTGGGGGCCCGTCCCTGGTGTAGGACGGGCTGCTGGGGTGGGGGCGGAGGTGCTGGAGCAGGTCGTGGGGGGTTCTGCGCAGGTCGGGTCTGGGATGGGGTCACGGTCAGCGGAGGTCGGGCTGGCGGGAATGGGGGTCTAGGTGGGGGTGCGCGTGGTTGGGTGGCTTGGAAACGTCGCCACTGGTTGTCCAGAAGCGTGGCTTCGCGCTTCCACTCAGTCCAAGTGGTGGGCATGGGGCGGAGGCGGTATATACTCTCCCTAAGCCGCGAGTTAATCGCTTGCTCAAACCGGTCGACCAGCCCGACATCGCCTAGCCTCGAGGCGGGTCCCAATATCTCGAACTCCTGGATGACCTTATCCACGGAGTCAGTCCCTTGGCGGATGACTGCCAACTTCTGCCGAGCTGTGGCCTCCCGGTTCGGGTCTTGAAACATGGCATCGAGTTCCGTGTTGAACTCGTCCATGGTTATGGTGGGGGAGGTGGCTGTCAACAGGGTGATCGTCCGTTGTGTCGCCCACGCCCCTGCAGGTCCTCCCTTCATGTAGGAGAGGACGAAGAGGATCTGGGATAGTTCGGTAGGGAACTCGGCTGCGCGGACATGGAAGTAGATCCCGCACTTGGCTTTGAAGCGATCGAGGTCTTCACTGGCTCCTGAGAAGGGAGTGGGGGCAGCGACCTTCGGTGGTTTGGGTCTGGGCGCGAGTGTGGGTACGGGCGCGGGTGCAGGGGTGGGTGCGGGTGCAGGTGCGGGTGGGGGGTGGTTGCGGGTTTGGCTCTCCACAATGGCTTGGAGCTCCTGGAAGCGGGCCAGCAGGTCGTCATACTGTTCTTCTGACACCATGGCTGGGGAGATGGGTGAGGTGGGGGAAATAAGGTTAAAACCTTCTTCTGCTGTCAGGGACGCGTCCGGGGTCGAGAGGGCCCGGGGGTAATGCCCGACACTGAGGCTGTCGCGGGGTGTGGAGCGGGCGTGCGTACTGGCGGGCCCGATCCGGGACAGCGGTCCCTGGCCACTCAGACTGAAGTGGAGAATGTGAGAAGAAGGTTACTTCTTCGGTTCCCACTTCAGGTACATTTATGTACATGCGGCTTGAGTCACATGACAGGTGCCACGTCATCCTCGGAGGCAGCCGCAGGCATCCGGGTGTCCCCGTGGGGGATCCCAAGAGCGTCCGCTGCATGCGCGCGTGCTGGGCACAGCGGGAAGCTGTCCGGGGTGTGTGGGCCGGACGGGTCAATAGTACATCGATACAAGGGAAGGTGGTCCGTGTAGATAGAAAGAAATAAACAGGAAGAGGAAGATGAGAAGAATGAAATAAAGAAAGGGGAAAGAAAAGGGAAAAGAGGGGGGAGGAGAGAGAGGAAGGAGGGGGGAGGGGGATAGACAGCGGGGAGCGGGTGTGGTGTGGCCGGGTGGGCCCGGGTCAGGCGGGTGTGCCCTGACATTATCTGGAAGTTACCACCACCACTCACCATGGACAATCCCATATACTACGAAACTCGTGTCGCCCTCAATCAACACTCAAAGCTTGTCAAATATCTAATCTTACCCTACATAAATGTTGACATGAGCCTTCATGATCAACTTAAGTCTCTTAGTGCTGTGGCACACCTGGCATACATATTCTTTACCAATCATAATGCACACTCGGCTTACCTCCCATCACCCCTTTACCGTGATATCCAAATCATGGTCAAGAACGCGTTCTTTTGCGTGGCAAAGATGAAGCGTGACAATCCCAATGGCGAGTTCTTCTTGATCCTGCTGGGCACGGATAGGCTGGAATGGATTTTTGGCCTTATCAGATCTCAAAATGGGAGCGATGTTAACGTTAGCACTTACACTTTATTGGGCCGAACTTCAGGGGCCGTCGAATGCCACTCAATCCTCTCCCAACACCCAGAATGGGACCGGGGCCCTCGTCGGCTAAGGCTCCAGGGTTTAAGCACCACAACAGGGATAGAGCAAAAAATCGATCACCTCAATCCGGCATCGTGGAAGGGAGACGTGCGAGTCTCTGGCGTACAACTGATGTCTGCATGGAGATCCGGCTGGCATGAGGTAGAAAATGATCCAGAACTCACGGCATTCAGTCCTGCAGAAAAGTTTGGCAAGCTTGAGTCGACCCCGGGTGCTGATCTGCTAAACCCCTTTGGGATGGAAGTATGTGAAGATGGTGAAAATGAAGAAACGTACGATGAAACTCCCCAGCAACCCAACCCAGATTCCACCATTCCCATTGTACCCGACTCGCTGGAACTTGAGGAACTCGTTGACAACAAGGATGCGCGGAAAAATGGGCTCGAAAGTACAATTGATGTGGGGAATGGGAAGCATGTACACAAGGCAAAGGTTCTGCGTGAATTCACAAGGTTCACAAGAACATCAAACTCGACTGACCGATTGAGACGTGTCGCCAATATTTCCCGCTTTGCCCAAATCCCCGCCACGCCACATCATCACATTGGTGATGGTTCTATCACGGAGACCGAATGCATCTTGATCCAAGATCCAGTAGCCACGCTTCTGAGATGCGAGGGAATCCCATTTCTGGGTGTTGCCCAAGTTAGTTCCATCAAAGTTGATAAGAGTTCCCAAAGTGCAGTATCAAAAGACTTACTCAACGAAGAAACAGTCACCATCGGTCTTCAAATCCTCTGCTTGAAGTCGCAAAACATAATTCTGTCAAATGGGAAGGATGGTGATTGGGTCTGGCAGCATGGACGAGATGCAAGCATCATGGTTCCCGGCAAGTTCATCCAGCAAATCAATCCTGATGTTGTTACTGTCGAAGAAGAGAGCGCCGTGATCGGAGCAGGAATCAGAAGAGAAGGTGGCTTGAGGAAGGCTGTAGGATATGGGTTTCGAAGTGATGAGCTGCGAGAGTTAGCAGCAGTGATGTTTGGGGCACTCTCGCTGGATGATCGACGTAAGATAGTTGAGATCAAACAGTCGGATAAGTTCCCTTACCAGGTTAACGGTGAGCTAGTTGGCTGCAGGTTACAACTGTCACACGAAACTCATTGGGCAATTCTCTCATCAGGCAGAGTGTGTTTTGCATGTGAACTTGAGGGGGATGACAGAGACATGGTAACAACGAATATTTCTTGTGAACGTTGTCATGCGATCTTTGAAACAGCCCCAAAATTACTCGCACACATCGCAGCTCACATATTACATGACCCAACTATTAGCCGAGAGGATGAGCCATGCGGGCTCTGTCTATCACCAGCACCTTCATGTCGGATTGGCCTGAAGAAATATAAAGCGTCTTTTACGCTTGATTATACTAATTCAATGTGTCAGAGGCTGGTTAAGTTTTCTTACGCCACTGCTTCCCAACCTTCACCTACAAACCCGTGTGCTAATGTTCCCATAAAGTGTCCACGGTGCCCCAAAGGATCCAACACGGTATGGAAGTACAACATTGCTTTTCATTATGCGAAAAACCACTCCCCTTCTGTTCCACCTAGCGAATTTGACATCTCAGATTTCGAGCTGGAAGGTCTCAAGATGGTCTGGAACAATCGCCATACTGCGAATTGAGGGGAAACTAGACGACGGAAACACTTAGCGGCGAAACTCAACATTTCTGAAGCACATAGTTCCCGTCTCTGCCTTCGGTATGTCCCAATCCTTCTTTACTTATTTATCACTTCAGATGTAATATTAATTATTAATCTACATCCAGGGACACAGACCTGGAAACACCACCCGAAGTCAATGCGGACTCATCCACTGGACCACTGGAACAAGATATCGACGATGACCTCGATACCAGCACCCCCGAACATATTCCCACCTCTCCTAGCCCCCATCCACCCTCCCCGGCCTCAGCTTTGCCAACCACCTATTCCAGTGGCCGTCCAATGCGCCACGCTCCCAAACGTCCTACTGGCATTCATATGTGTTGTACCATGAAAGTTACCGCAAGCAAAATTAACGATGGTACTAATGTTGTTAGGTGTAATGGGACGGGCTGTGAGACGGTTTGGGTATATGCCTTTTACGTACCTTAATACTGTTGTTGTTTTCTGACAGACAAATTAGTTCCATAGGTCATGTCAGGGTCTAGGGTCCTACATCCCCCTGAACTGGACATGCGGTGCCCATCAAGAATCCCGCAACAGCAAACGAGCAAGGAAACAAGGCTAACTATTGGCATAGTGGAGGTTTTCAATTTATTTTCAATGATAATATACATTTGCAAATACATTTGAATCGAAAATTTTGACATGCACAAAATAGGTTTAGTCCCTCCGACCAGAGACTATCATACTAACATGGGGTTTGGCATTTCCCGAATGACCCCCCCTTGGCTACGTCCATCACACCCAAGTATTTCAGAGGCTCCATTAAGTTAGAAAGGACAGGCGAACTGCCGTTAGGAACAAGGTTAACACAGAACACGGACAATTGCGCAGAGAAATCTTTCGAGTATCGTGAAGACCAGTCCACCACCATAAACTGAATGACTGAGCGATAGAAACCTAGAAGAGAACACTCCCAGATGGCGAGACAACTGGTGGGTCCGACTTGTTGGTGTCCCACCCAGCATCTGATATGGAGTGGACACGATAGTACAGACGTATCTGGCGGACTGTGCCCAATACACAAGTTGGAGCGCGTGGGAGCCAAGCGAAAAATTCTGCCTATGTCATCTGAGTGTGGAGAAAAGAATCGTTAATTGATGCCAAAGGAAAGGGTGTGAATAATTCAACTGGTGTCGGTGTCGGACAGGATCCACGTGTGCGATTCTGGCACCCTATCTTAACTAGTAGGTCAACAAAGGCAAGAGCACACCGGAATGCATGTGTATACTCCACAAAGGGGCCATCAGCAAAAAATTGTTATGCTCCTGAGTGCTCCGGAGTATGGGGAGCACTGGGAGAATCAGGAGGAGATTGGCCAGTCCAGGAACAGCTCATTTCCTCCGGAGTTGGCCAGGTACTCCAGGGCACTCCCAGGAGGGCATGGAGCATTGCTTTGTGCACAAACATGTCCAGTAAATACAATTTAAATGCTTCAAAATCTATAGGGGTGAGAAGCTTCTGGGAGCTCCTGGAGCATTTGAAAATGAAAAGGAAAAAAGAGGGAAGAGGGAAGAGGGAAGATTCCCATGAATACCTCCTACCACAAGGCTAACACAACAAGACACTGCTTAACATTTAGATCAAACACTATACTATATATCAAGGACACTGAGACTCACCAATACACAATCAAAATTTATGGCCTGATATATGATTAATCTGGCAACTTAATCACTTTCGGGCTTGCAGAATATGGAGGAGGGGAAATGGGGGAAATGTGGGGGGAAATGTGGGGGGAGAATGAGGGGGAATGAGGGGAGAATGAGGGGGGAATGAGGGGGAATGAGGGGGGAATGAGGGGGGAATGAGGGGAGAATGAGGGGGGAATGAGGGGGGAATGAGGGGGGAATGAGGGGGGAATGAGGGGGGAATGAGGGGGGAATGAGGGGGGAATGAGGGGGGAATGAGGGGGGAATGAGGGGGGAATGAGGGGGGAATGAGGGGGGAATGAGGGGGGAATGAGGGGGGAATATAGAGGGAAATGAGGAAAATTTGAAAAATAGGGACTTCTAAAAAGTTGAAAAAAAATAATTAGGGAAAAAATCAAAAACATTCAGGAACTGTAGTGCCTTTGAAGTGCTTTCAGGATATATAATTATTTGCGAAATTGAGGAAGAAATGATGGAGAAAAATGGAAAATACTTTCGGAGACCCGAGAAATAATGAGAACTGAATTGATGGGAAAGTCTGAAAATTGAATAGGAAAGTGAGGGGAAGCCTTGGAGCATTGTTATTTTCTGCTGTTCTGATTTTTCCTGATTGTTCTTGGTCTCATTCCCAGCTGCTCCTCAATACTCCTGAAAGCTCCTGAAAGCTCCTGGGAGGGTCCAGGAGCAGCTGGGAGTGAGACAAAGAACAATCAGGAAAAATCAGAACAGCAGAAAATAACAATGCTACAAGGCTTCCCCTCACTTTCCTATTCAATTTTCAGACTTTCCCATCAATTCAGTTCTCATTATTTCTTGGGTCTCTGAAAGTATTTTCCATTTTTCTCCATCATTTCTTCCTCAATTTCGCAAATAGTTATATGTCCTGAAAGCACTTTAAAAGCACTATAATTCCTGAAAATTTTTTTTTTCAACTTTTTAAAGACCAAAATTTTCCTCCCACTGCTCCTGGCACATTGCATACTCCTCACCACTCCCAGCTGCTCCTGAACCCCCTCCCAGGAGAACACTATTGGCTCCAGGAGTGCCCAATCTGCTGTTTTGTCTCCCACATGCTCCAGCCACTCTTGATGCTCCGGAGCATAACAGACTTTTGCTGATGCCGCCTGATGCGGCAGGTCCCACCACTCTTCCGTCCTCCGTTGTTGCAAAATATATTTGGGTTGAAGATCCAACCACGTATAAACACCTCACCCTTTTCTCAATCATCCCCTGTTACAACATATGCTGTTGTGTCCGGAGGGTGTGCAACAATGTCTCCCTCCAGCGTTACACTTCAGGTTTGTTATAAATGTCATCGCAGAGGAGAGCAAAAAGGTAAGTACATCATGAAGATATCTGTCATAATCCGGAAATCGGGTGCAAAGATGGACACACGAGAGGAAGGGGGCAGGCCCGATGGGAATCTGGTAACAGTCACCAAACAGAATATGTGCAAGTGAACGGTCATGAATATGCAACACAGTGCAAACGTTGAAAGAAACACCATAGTTTTTAGCGAGGGGAATCAACTGGTGAGAAGATGGTAATTCGGCAGGTGGTAATATTGAAATTATGAACTAGTCGTGAATTAGCGCTCAGTTCCAAAGATGTGAACTAAGTATTATTAGTCATTACCTAGTCGCGAATTAGTGCTAGGAAATATGTACAAGATTAGACAATATTCCAAGTGATGAAAAAGGAGTCTCACCTCAGTTCCAAAGATGTGAACTGAGGAGAGAGGAAAGAGAAAAATCGCGCGAGGTGGCTTTTAAGCCATCCTCGACTGCGTTCATCAACGTGGATGCCAAAAGTAGAAGCATCGGGCAATCCTTCATGGAAATGCCCGTGCGCAAGATGTATAGTCTGACGGACTCAATGGACAGTCCACAGTGTACCAAGAAAACAAGGATTTCAACAGGTAAAAGGCTGTAAGACCAGGGAGCTAAGGATATTCTGTTAAGAGAAAGAGCAAGAAGAAATTGAATTACTCACTGGTAACATCGGTGGAGGAACACCTTGGACAACTGATATCTAGACCTATAGAGGGGGGTTCTCAGGACGTTTGAAGAGGGCCTAGAGGCCTCTTTTGTATGGGAACATCCAAGGACGTCCTGAGATGTCCTGACAATTCACTTTCAATTCAAATGTTCAAGTAACGATGTCCTTAATTCACAATCCACTTCTGGAGCTGTGTGCACGCAGAATCATGAGTTGGAGTAATAATACGAAATAAAGAGGCGATTGAGAGAAATTTATCGCAAAAGACCCGATGGCAAATGGTTGAGAACTGATGGAGAAATGTGTGATTCTTGGTTCACTCAACACCGCACGGGAGTGGCATGCGTGGGAAATGACATGCAAGGTCAAAGTTCAGTGCCTCTCAGATGTCAAAAAAATACGAGAAAATATGTCAAGTTTACTTTGAGGACATGTATTGTAGTGCACAAACTTTCAGGACATTTGGACTACTATTCAGTGAGATAGGGGAAATGCACAATGTATTCCCCGCTCCTCCCATACTATCTTGCTCATTTCTCCACCATTTGGAATGAGACCAACTGCGTTGGAAAGCTAAGGTTTAGTATAGTTGAATGGTGTAAAGTTAGAACGGTTATGGGGAGCGGTTGAGGCTTCCAACATGAGTTTGGGTTTCCAGGCCACTTTCTTATTGTTCTGTCTTTTTCAATTTCTTTTATTAGTGTTTTCCATTTCTTAAACCCAATTGGAATGTTCTTGAAGCTACCATAGCATATTATTTCTGTTTGTTTCTACAGGGAAAGGTTCATACACTACAAAATAACTATTTTTATGGATTTTACACTGTAGCCACACAGCACACAGGCCCAGTCTTGCCTCCATTCGCACATCCATTTAAGACCCACATTACTCGCTCTTTCTAATTTTTTTCTATTTTTCTGAAACCATTTTCAGTTCCTAAGCAGGATTCTCATGCACAGCATAACTTTCAACTTCTTACTCAACGGTCTCTACAACTACACATTTACACCCAACGTTCTTATGCTCGATCGATAGAGCACGATTATCTCTCCTATCATGCCAATTTTCGTGCTGAATGGACAAATATTAGTAGAGATTCTGATTCAACACCATGCTGAATCTCATGTGGACTTGACAGCACCTGTCAATGGTGGTACCTCAAGAACCACAGGGCCAATTTGAATAAAATTGAGCTTGTTGGAAAGCTGGAGGAGAGGAGAAGTTAGTGTGGCTCAAAGAAAGGCATGGAAAGGGACGGTTTGATTTCGCGTCGACCTTCTTTCATATCAGGCTG